TTTGGAATCAGCAGACAAAAATCTTTCATTCTAGCCAAAAATATACAGTGATCCATTTAAAAAATGTATGTACTTGTCATTATGACAGTTGACACTTGTCATTGCTCGTTTTGACATGTGCGAAAGATAATTGAGATGAAACCCTAAAACTTTTGTATTCAACATTTTCTTAAATTTTTTTTTGTTTAAGTTGTAGAGTCCACACTAATTATAAGGAACAGACTCTGTACATTTTGTTTTTGTACAGCAAACATGCTAACATATAGAGATTTGGAAATTATTTAGGTTTCCTAAAAAATTGCCTGATTCCTACCAAAAATTGTCGGTCCATGTTTGTGTAATACTGTAATAAATGAGAAATTTATTTTTGATTGGAAGGATTTGTTAGCCTGAAAAAAGAGATGTGACTCTCAAAGAATTCTCACCTTCGGCGGGCCTGCTAGCAACTACCCGTCCCTGTCGTTATATCCAGCTTTTTGTCACAAGAAATATGGCCACCCTACAGTGGCGGATCTATAGCACCATTCTGAGGGATGGAGCTTCTCAACCAGTGGCGGCTCGTGATTTATACCTGAAGGGGTTAACACCTAAAGTAGGACCACGTGATGCCCACCGCAAATGCCCCGGAGGTAGAAATTTTTTTCGGGTGCCACGCTCAAAACTTTTAAGCCTCCAAAAAAATAATTTGTGTGTTTTTCTAATATTTAAAATTTTCTTGGGTCTCTCTGGGAGGGAGGGGGGGGGAGAAAATACCCCCTTTACCCCTCCACCCGTGGATCCGCCACTGCTACCCTACATAAAAAGGGCGTCGCAATTCGGATGTCGCCGACGTCCACGTTTGGTTTGGCTACGCCACTGCATTTGTCTTCCTTGTTTAACAAATAAAAATTGACTCAAACAAATCAATGATGTCAAAAACATTCGTCGGTTCTTAAACTAGACGTCATTCATTTAAATTTGTCAAAAAAATTGAATGAGTCATATGAATTAATCTACGACAACCCTTTTTTTTTTCAAGTTTCAAGGTCAAGTATGAACCCTGGTGAAACGAACTTTAGTTCTCTACAACTTTCTCGTATAAATATTTTTGATATTATGCATATTAACGCCAAAAAGTTATGATTACAGAATTACTGGTGGTTAACGCTCTCAAATTGTAAAGGGGCCCACATACTGCGTTTTTGTTGGACAGTATTTTTGTACGTGCAAATCTGATCTAGCAAAAACGATACAAAACCGAAGTGTGTGCACATAAAGAAAAAATATTTCCAATTAAACCAATTTGATTTGCCGTAAAATAATAAGTGATTTATATATAACGAAAAAAATATATTCTTCTTGTAAGTAAAGGGATTGCTTGCGTATATTATTTCATGAAAAGAAAATATTTTATTTCCTTAAAGAATTTTCCATATATTTAAAGGAAATTAGTCATGTATTCAATTCAAACAAATTCGCATAAAATGAATTTCCAATAGAGAATTTTATTTATTTAACTCAAATCAATATTTTCTTAGAATTAGTATGCGGGTATAAAATTGGAGAATACAGTTTCTTGATTTTAGAATACTTGTTCTTGTATGAAGCATCGTTTTTTCAAATATAGTTTTCATTCAAGAATATCATCACCTATTCATATTTTCAAAATAAGAATAATTGTGCTTTGATATTAGGTACCTATTATATTTTTGTTTAGAGGATGTTTCAAAATTACGTATACAAAAGGTGAGCACAGATACCCTACATCACAATAGGGTGAGTTTATATGGATTTAGTGTACTATCTTTTTCCACTTCAAAGCTTCAAAAATACATCGATGTTTGTCACTTCAAGGGACTACATATCAGAAAAATGAAGCAAATTTTAGGAATAGGTGAGTCCAATTAAACTCGCCATATTTTTATTTTCAGTTATGGTATCTATAAGTACTCACCTTTTGTACACGTAATTTTGTTACATCAGGTAGAAAAAAATATATACTAGGTACCTAAAATCAAGCACAATTATTATTGTACTGGGTATAACTAGGTGTAAAAAAAAAAAAAATTTCTGGCAAATTTTATTTTTCTTTATTAAAAAAACAATGTAACTAAACTAGAGGGTGACGAAACTTTATAACTGTGTTAAGTATAAACAACCTAGAATAAATTTAATTTGAGTTTGTACTTTCAGATTTGATAGTTTACAAATCATTAATCTACTTTCAAATACAGCCATTGAAAAACAAAAAAACGAAAAATAACAAGTAAAATAAAATAAGAGTAGTGTGATAATTTGAGTATTCAACCTAACACTAATAAAAATAAAAATAAATAACACTTTCAAATATTCACATCTTAAATCTGCTTTTGGTAGTCTTCAAATTATCAGTCTTCTTTCAAATACAGCCATTGGAAAAAAAGGAAAATAACTCTTAAAATAAAATAAGAATAGTGTGATAATTTGAGTTTTAAACCCAACACTGATGAAAATAAAAATAAATACCACTTTCGTACATTCGAAATAAAGTGAAAACTGTGTCAAAGGCAAACATATTCACAACTCAAATCCACTTATTACTTTATTCTTTATTCATTCCCGAAGTGACACATATTCACTATTTCCAACTTTGTGAATGATGGTAGGCAATATGGAAAAACACTCCTCCAATCTAACTGTAATTTTTGATTGCAATTTTGCGGAATTAATTTTAAATGCTTTAAAATGTTCACAGTAACCGATAATACTTAAAGGAGAACATTCCATATATAATAACTTCTCATCGTGCTGATTTAAAAAAATATTTGTAATTTTACAAAAACAGGGAACATCATCATTTTCATATTTATATATCAGTACCATTTCAGTTTCGTATCTAACACCGTTTATTTCGTACCAACTAATAGAATAGAAATCCCCAGGTTCCAAATTTAGGTTAGAATCAACGTCATCAATATTAATTTGATCAGTACATAAAATTCTATCAATAAATCCCTTATTTGAAATGTATCTGTAAAAACTCTTTAATTGGCATCTTACTAAAATCGAATACGGTAAATTTTTCCTGCTTCTGATAGATTGTTAAATTACTTTTAAATCTCTATGCTTGGCCTCACCTTTGAAACTGCTAATGAAAATAGGAGGACCAATTTTTTCTATTATGTGAACATAATGTACCAAAAGATGAAATTTGGGTTTCAAAGAAGTGTTAAAAAGAGCGACAAACATCTGATGGTGTTCATCAATGAGAGTTTCTAGATGCTGTAAAATTGAATTAGTTATTGATTGACTAGTTAAAATTTGTGTAATTTCCAATAAACTTAAATAATATATCCATAAAGCTTCATTATCCGGAATTAAATCACCAATAATAAATCTAAAATTTCGAACGAAACATAACATTTCTGATGCCGAGAAAATAATACATCCGTTTAATAAATGTTGTTTTGTTACGGGAGGAGGAACATTTTTTTCAGAAATTTGATATGTAAAATATCTAATTCTAGCATTTAGGTTATCCAATGTGAAATATTTCTTTCTAATTAAATTATCAATTAAAACGGCCATACTATATCGGTGAACTCCTTCGCATAAGTCATGCATAACATCGCAAGTGACATTTCTATACAAATGAAAGTTAGGTAATGAATGGAATATACAATTTTCTTTAACACCAATTTTACGATGCAAGTGATCATCATAATCAGACTCTTTTCGTACTCTTGTATCTCATGCGTAAGTGTTTTAGTTTCTTCTTTAGAAATAAGGCAAAATCGGCAAAAATGTGTAGCTGAAAAACTTTCAAATAATCCGAGTATGCCATGTAGGTACTCCTAGGTTATCACCAGTAATTGCAGCCAATGCTAATTTGACATTGACAGATTTATTATTTATATTTATATCAATTCCGTTAGTTTCTAAGACAGTTAATTCATTAATAATAGTTTGAAATACAGAATTCCCAAAAGTTGCCTTATCAATTGAGTGAAGCAAGAAAGTAACAAATATATTTTCTAATTTGCTAATGTGATCAGGTGGTAATGTTGCAATGTAAAAATACATAGCGCTTATTTTATAATTTCCTGCATGGCTTCCAAGTGGATTTCCGCTTTCGAAATCATCATAATACAATACTAAGAGTAAAGTATCACTATTAAATTTGGAAGACCAAACGCTTCCATTTATAATATTTCGTAGAACTTTATTTTCCGAATATTCCCTATTTAGTTCTTCTTGGTAGTTTTTTATGCAATTATAAACATTGGGTAACTCTAAAAAACGTTTGATTGATTCTTTTAGTGGAACGTAAAGTGCGTATCTATGCTTTAGGACCAAAGATACTTCATTATCGTTCCGAACTTTATCTTCTGAAACACCAAGAAAAATTTCTTGAGGCATATGTAATTTTGCAGAATTTTGAAAATATTTGAATCGTTTGTACTCTGTATTCAGCGATGAGAATGGATTTTCCAGTAATTTAAGCATAGAATTTATATAATCCAATGCAACACAATCATGATCTTTGGAAAGATATTCTAGAGATTTTATTATCTTTTGAATTAATCCAGACGCAAGAAAATCAGAAACAGATTCTATAAAAGTTTGAATAACTGATCTTGGAACTACTAAACTACAATAAAATTGAGCAATAAATTTATCAACCGAAATCGCGAATAGTGTTTGGAACTCAGCAAACAGTTTTTTTGGGCCATCATCGGTTACAACCTCTGCAGATTCCTTTGAAGTATTATCGGTTTCTAAATGAATGTCGATACTTGAATTAGGTTTATCGTAGGTATCTTTGCTATTAATTGTTTTTATAATATGAGGATTAGAGTCAGACTTGTGTACAGTATTCATATGTTGTTTCAAGGAGTTTTTTCGATGGTAAGTTCTACTGCATTTTGGAATAGGACAAACAAAGTAATTTGAATTTAAATTATGAAAACATTCCATGTGAAGTATATATTGTTTGAAATCACACAAAACCTTTGGGCACATGGAACATTCCATTTTTCACTTTAAAAAAATAATATAAAACAGTATTCTAATTGTTGTAAAATATTCAGCACATATGGCTGAATAATATTATACTTGGTTTTGATCTTATAGATACACCTTTGTATAAGCAAATAAATATGTTCTCCAGGTAGAGGATACTTGGCCTTAAATACGTGATAGGCCTTAAATAAAATATCAAATGCTTTTTTAGGGCAATCAAATTGGTACCTTAAAGTATCCACAACCAAGAATATTCTTCTAAAATTTATCAGGTCAGGGCCATCTACCAGGATATATGGCTGAACCGTTTGTTTTTTGTTTAATGACTTTTCTTTTTGTTCGGCTATAGTTTTCTCTATATCACCAGGATTCTAAAAATAAAAAATATATTTTTTTTATTCATATAAAGAGTACGTATGCATGCATGTGTACACACATTAGTATTCTTACCTTAACGAGCACCACCAGACTTTCAACACTTTCTTGAGTCGAAAACTTCCAGTGTTTCTTTTCTATGACCGTTCGCCCTTTTGGTGGTATGAGGTGTGGAAGAAGAGTTATTTGTGTCGTAATCTTGGAATCTAAAAAATATATTGAATATATTACTACTTCTGAAATCTAAATCAGCAGATTGTAAAATGCCCAGTTCATTTAATCATTTTAGATTTTTGCAAGCAATTTTTTCAACTATTTTTCTAGGCTTTCTTTTAGCTTGAAATGCGAAGGGTCCCAAAACAACCTAGTGGAGGGTGGAGGTCATTTACTCCATTATACAGGCTGTCAATGAATAGTGGGATCAAACTTCTAGGATAAATAGTACTCATCGAAATAGGAAAACAGTTAATAAAAAAATCCCATTTCCATTTTTTTTTTTAAATTTGGCAGGTTTGTTTGTGATAACAGAAGGTATCTTTTGAATAATATGACCTTAGAATATGACTTGCTTAATCTGAAAAAAATATCAAAGTTATGAAAAAATAGTGATGTGCCATTTTTTTTCTTTCACCAACGTAGTTGCCTTCTGGGGCGCCACTGGAATAATTACGACGGTAGATTCAATTGAGTCAAAAGATAACTTTTGTTATTACAAACAAATCTACCAAGTATAAAAAAATTCGGGAAACAGATTTTGAAAAACTAATTTTTTCAAGCTGTATATCAAAAACTAAGCATTTGCAGACCTATGTTTCTATTTACTTTTCTCTTATTTTAATGAGTACTAAAATCCTAAAATGTTGATACTACTATTCAATAACACCCTGTACATCAGAAGGTCTAAGAGTATCTAGAAACATTTAAAAAAAATTGTATAGGTATCTAACGTATTTAGATAAGATTAGTTTGTTTTCGAGTATAAAAATTGCTAATGCTAAAACACTTACTGTTTCACTATATGATTGAATATATGTTTAATCATAATATCCACAAGTCTGTTTCGCCTCTTTTGGTCCAATGAGCCATTAGCATTATAAAATTGTAATACTGAATTTCCCAAAGGAGAAGTTTGTAATAATGTTTTTAGGTCGAATTCTGGCAATGAGGGTCGTATTAGGTTACGAAGTGTTTCCTCTAATTCCTCCAAACCTGATGAAACATCATTAGAAGTATCCGCATTTTGCCAGCTTGGACCTGGTAAATTTTTTTTTTGGGTGAAACTAGGACCTGGTAAATTGTCTTGTTCTATAACTCTCTCAAGTTCCACCCCATCTGTTGTGCCGTTGCTGTCACTATAAATTGTTTCAGTATCCGCCTGTATAATAATTAAAAAATTCAAGTTAAAAACATTTGGCAATTGAAAAAAATAATGTTTTTTTACTACTAACCTGAGAAATAGACATTATTCAATCTATTTTTCTAAGAAAAAATTGAATTTCTCTCCCTAGGTTAATAATGAAAATAATGAAAAAATACCTAGGTCAATAATGAAACTGACGTCATGACGCAAGGATATTGTCATGTTTCTATTGGTTCAATTTCAGTTTCATACGTCAAATTGAAAAAAAATACAGGTTTCTGTAGGTACATAGGAAGTTATATAAGCTGTTGATAGAGAGCAGCACTTTCAAGAGGGCGTTCACAAAAAATAATTAGAGCACAGATTTTAAACAAATTTTTTATTTTCTACTAGCAGTAGTAAAAAAAATTCTATATATTCCTCGGTAGAGAAAGTCATTATATACCTCACGCATTATAAACCTCGGCGCTGCGCGCCTCGGTTTATAAAAGCTTTCGGTATATAATGACCAACTTCTCTACCTAGATATATAATATACTATTTTTTACTACTAACCTGAGAAATAGACATTATTCAATCTATTTTTCTAAGAAAAAATTGAATTTCTCTGCCTAGGTTAATAATGAAAATAATGAAAAAATACCTAGGTCAATAATGAAAATGACGTCATGACGCAAGGATATTGTCATGTTTCTATTGGTTCAATTTCAATTTCATACGTCAATTTGAAAAAAATACAGGTTTCTGTAGGTACATAGGAAGTTATATAAGCTGTTGATAGAGGGCAGCACTTTCAAGAGGGCGTTCACAAAAAATAATTACAACACAGATTTTAAACAAATTTTTTATTTTTTACTAGCAGTAGGTAGTAAAAAAAATTCTATATATTCCTCGGTAGAGAAAGTCATTATATACCTCAAGCATTATAAACCTCGGCGCTGCGCGCCTCGGTTTATAAAAGCTTTCAGTATATAATGACCAACTTCTCTACCTAGGTATATAATATACTATTTTTTGAACAGTTGTAGGTATGGATCAAATTTTCTGGGCATTAAAATCGCCGACATAAAAGAAATTTACTGCTACAAGGCTTATGCAAAGAATTTTCATTGTTATTTACCGTGGAATCTCTTCGTGCTAAGAATTCGAGTATTTCGTTTTTTAATTGGATTCTTGTTCCGATAGGTGGGCACAATTCTTTTAAGAAGGCATCATCTAAAGATGAGAAATGGTCTAGAGTCTAGAGTTATATTGTTATCTAAAATACAAAAAATAAATTGTAATAAAATATTCTGTACCTCCAGATACTACCACTACATTTGTTATTATTTATCTGAAGGTTTCAATTTAAAAAACTACTTTCCAGCATTCCACCTAGAACGTATCTCGAAAACAAACCGTATTTTTTAAAATTTTTGACCATAGAATCTGTACTTTAATCTTTTTACGATAGCTATTAATAAAACACCCAACGTAAAAAGTGGAAAATAAAAAATAATGCCACTATTTTTTGTTGTTTAACTTGGTTTTAACCCAAGACTTTTAACTTTTACTTAATAATAGGTATCAATCAACGATAATACATACATACCTGAAAAGTTATTTATTATGTCAATCGGGACATTCCAGGATTCAAGCAAGTCCTTTACTTCTTCAGCCATCGCACAGCAGATATTTTTTTAATACTATTGTCTATTATGCTGTTAACCATGGGATTCTTTGGTAGGTATTTATTTGCGCCACTCACGTGTCACGCACAAAACGTTCTGTCGCCCGGGCGCCCGGTCGTTGCAATCCACCCCACAAATAGTAAAACACTGACTGCAATTCTGCATGAAATATGTTTTAGATACCTACTCAAAATAAAATTGTGCGGATCAAGTCACAGCTTGTCTTGTTTCAAGAATATTCCATATAAGGCAATTCTTGGATGAAGTAAAATTTTAATTTTTGTCTTGACTTGAAAAAACCGGAGATTATTGATTTGTGTAGTCTTTTACGTATGTAATAACAAAAACTACGTACTTTCAAAATACTTTAATAATTCAGAACGAGATTAGTCACAAAATAAATACAAGATTCGAGCCGTAACGAACGCTTCAAAACTCTAATCATAACTGTTGTCATCACTTTCTATTTCTAAAAGCCTTTTCCCTTTTGCCTGGATGCCATAAAAACATAAAAGGCACCCCTTGTCCTTATCAGGTACCCTTCGCTGTGGTGCTGTGTGCAAAAAGGGTTTCGTAGAGGCCAACGAAGCTTTACTGGCTTGCCGTCGAGCTCCAAAGATTGGGATTGACAGCATTCGACCATCCTGACAGCATGATCGTCCTCGATCATACCACTCGTACCAGTGACATCAATCTCGTTGGAATCGTCAAATGCACTACAAAGTAAATAATTAAATCGGATATACATTAAACAGTGTAGGACGTCAGATACGTCACCAAGGCCAATAATTGAATCAGATATTCAATTGAACAAACAGTGTACGTCAGATACGTCACTAGGCCACTAATTGAATCAGTTATTCAATCGAATAGTGTACGTCAGATACGTCACTAGGCCAGCAATTGAATCAGTTATTCAATCGAATAGTGTACGTCAGATACGTCACTTGGCCAGCAATTGAATCAGTTATTCAATCGAATAGTGTACGTCAGATACGTCACTAGGCCAGCAATTGAATCAGTTATTCAATCGAATAGTGTACGTCAGATACGTCACTTGGCCAGCAATTGAATCAGTTATTCAATCGAATAGTGTACGTCAGATACGTCACTAGGCCAGCAATTGAATCAGTTATTCAATCGAATAGTGTACGTCAGATACGTCACTTGGCCAGTAATTGCATGCTTACCTAAATCTTCTGAAACTTAAAAAGTTTCATATGTTCGCTGCCTACTACAGCTTCATATGGACGTTGAGACCGTTTGCTGTGGATATCTTCCTTGACCCTGTATCTGTCATTTGGAAGCACTTCAATGACTCTGAAAGGTCCACGATACTTGTCTAGGAGTTTTTTGCTTTCGTGGTTGTTCGCAGGAAAACTAGTAACCTTAGTCAAAACTAAGTCTCCCACAATGTACTGAGTCGGTGGTCCTCTTCTTTTGTTGAAGTTTTCATTCTGTTTATTTCTGTTGTCTTCAAGTTTTTTAGCAACTTTTTTTCTCAACGTTGTCACATCTAAAGTAGCACTATCATCGTCACTCATATATTTGTCCCCATCAACTCGTAGTTTATACCCGAAAAATAACTCACTAGGTGTTGTTTGAGTTATGCGATGTTTTGTACTGTTAATACCTTGCTGTATATTTTTTAAATTAGAGTCCCACATGTTAGTCTCCAATTTAGCCCCCATTGTTGCCAGAGCATCTAGTACAGTTTTATTCGCCCTTTCAACTTGACCGTTACCCCTTGCCATGCCAACTGCCGTCGTGAATAACCTAATACCTCGTTCTTCAATATATTTCCTGAAGTCTCTGGAAACAAATGCTTTTCCAGCATCTGTTATAAGGCGCTTCGTATTACCAAATATTTTGAAAATCTCATCCAGAAAAGCCACTACTGGTTTACTTGAGGTATCTGGTACTGCCTTCAGAAATACAAATTTTGAAAATGCGTCAACAATCACTAATAAATATTTGTTGCCATTTTGACTTTCAATAAAAGGTCCGAGATGATCTGCGTGCAAAGTGTGGTGTGGACGTGCATATTTGGGTATGGAATGGAGATATCCAGGTTTTTTACCACCTGGTTGCTTATGATATAGACAATGTATACATGCATTAATGTATTTTTTTACGAATCTACGCATTTTTGGAAACCAATATCTCTCTTTTATTCGCTCTAGTGTTTTATCTAAAGCGAAGTGTCCAATATCATCGTGATTAGCTTTCACTATTTGCCATCTACACATTTTTGGAACAACCCATTTGTTTCCAAATTCTGTCATTCGATATATTTTGTTTCCACGTAGATCGTATTGCTTGAAAATATCCTTATTATCTTCGCTGTCACCTGATAAAAGTATTTCTTTGATTTTCTTTATTTCTTTGTCTTCACTTTGGGCTTCACGTAAATAATCATCTTCAAAAATTGCAGCTACAATTTGAATGTCAGAGTCAGATGGTATGTTTTCATTATTCTTGTTGGAAAAATTTCTGCTTAAAGCATCAACATGTTGCAATTGGTGTCCTGGTTTATGTTTAATTTCAAATGTGAATTCCTGCAGATACAAAATCCATCTTGCAATCCTTGGAACGATACTTTGTTTAGACATAGCATTTTTCACAGAATTACAATCTGTAATAACTGTAAATTCTCTGCCTGTTAAATAATATCTGTATCTTGTTAATGTTTTTACAATCGCTAGTAGCTCTAATTCAAATGAATGATATTTTTTTTCGTCATTAGTGGTTTGTTTGCTGAAGTATGCCACAGGTTTTTCCAAGTTATCGACGATCTGGGTAATAATTCCTGCAAATCCATCCCTGCTTGCGTCTGTGTAAACCACTGTTTTACACTCAGGATTGAAAATAGTTAAAACTGGTTCACAGGTAATTACGTTTTTCATTTTTTCTATTATTGCGGTATGTTCTTGTGTCCATTTCCAAGGGAAATCTTTCTTTAAAAGTTTGGTTAGATTGGCCGTTTTTCTTGCAAAATCAGGTATAAATTTTCTAAAAATCCTATTAGTCCAAGAAATTGTCGCAGCTGGTGTTGGTTTTTCGGAGTGGGAAAATCTTTAACTGAATCAATTTTAAGTTTGCTTGGTGAAATTTGATTGAAAGTAATCTCATATCCCAAATAGGTAATCTCAGTCATCAAAAACGTGGATTTTGACAGTTTTACAGTCAAGTTATTTTCCTGCAACAATTTTAAAATCTGGTCTAATAATTCTAATCCAGTTTCTATGGTTTCAGATGGAATTAATATATCATCTAGATATGGAATGACGTTAAATTTTCTTAGTGGTCGAAGTATTTCTGTCATCATCTCTTGGAAAACTGCAGGCGCATTGCATAATCCAAAAGGACAACGAACATATTCGAAATGTCCTTCAGGTGTTGCAAATGCAGTATATTGAATTGAGTCTTCCGC